CTAGAACAGGAATGATTTGCACCAGAACCAACAGCTTTGTTCCCCAAAGCCTTTTTTTTTTTTTGTTCCCAGCACCCAGAGCAAGAGTGTTGTCAACACATCTGCTTAATGAATGTGTGTGATAAACAGGGTTGGCACGAGGGGTGGGGAGAGAGGCAAGAAAGGCGAATATTAAAAAATCAGATAGCCTGAGCATTGTTGAGGATGTGGCATGCCTCCCTCACAGGGCACTTGGGAAAGAGCCCAGCCATTTCCTACCCCATGATGCAGCCATACCACCCCTGGGCATTTACTGGGGAGAAAAGGGTACACTGTATTCACTGAAAGACATGTACAAAAAGGCTCAAAACAGCTTTATCCATAGTAGTGAAAACCTGGAAACAACCCAAATGTCCACCAACAGTTGAATGGATAAATAGTGAAAAATTAGTACCCAGTGGTTACAATTTTTTTTTTAATGGGGAAAAACTACCCAAGTGTTGTCAAGGATTTGGGGATATTGGAACCCTCATATGCTGCTGGTGGGACTGTAAAATGGTGTAGCCACTGTAGAAAATAATCTGGCAGTTCCTCAAAAAGCTAAACATAGAATTACCATAAGATCCAGCAATTCCACTCCTAGGTATATATATATATATATATACCCCCTAAAATTGAAAACAGGTGTTCAGGGCCGGCCCGGTGGCACACTGGAGAGTGCGCTGCTTGGGAGCGCGGCAGCGCTCCCACCGAGGGTTCAGATCCCATGTGGAGACCAGTTCCCGCTCACTGGCTGAGCACGGTGCGGGTGCAACACCGAGGGTTGCGATCCCTTTGCCAGTCCCCGGTATGGGCGCGACACCGAGGGTTGCGATCCCGTTACCGGTCAGTAAAAAAGACAAGAAGGAAAAAAAAAAAAGAAAAGAAAACAGGTGTTCAAACAAAAACTTGTACAGAAATGTTCATAGCAAAAAAAAAAAATAGCCAAAAGATGGAATTACAATAGCCAAAGGGTGGAAACAATCTAAATATCTATCAACAGACAAATGGGTAAACAAGATGTGGTGCATCCATACAGTGGAATATTACACAGCCATGAAAAAGAATGAAGCTCTGACACACGCTACAACATGGATGCACCTCGAAAACATGATGCTGAGTGAAAAAAGCCAGACACCAAAGTCCACACAGTGTGTGATTCCATTTACATGAAATGTCCAGAACAGGCACATCCATAGAAACAGAAAACAGATTAATGGTTGTCAGGGGCTGGGGGAGGGGCATGGGGAGTGACAGCTGATGCATATGGAGTCGCTCTCTTTAAGAGGATGAAAAATTCTGGAACTAGATATTAGTGAAGGTGGCACCACATAGTGAATGCACTAAATGTCCCTGAATTGTACACTTTAAAATGGCAAATTTTATGTTACGTGTGTTTTGTTGTGATAAAGAAAATAATCGGTACCCAGTAATGCTGTACTACATAGCCATGAAAAGGAACACATGGCTGCTCCTCAACACCAGGAGCAACAGAAGCTGGATCCAAGAGTGGATACCCTGTGTGATCCCGTTTATGTGAAGTTCAAAACCAGGTAAGACTTGCTGATGGAGGTCAGTGCAGTGGTCACCTAGAGGGAAGGGATAATCAACTGGAGGGTCCAAAGAACAAGGAGGGGCAGGGATATACTAGCCCCTTGTCAAGCTCCACCCCTGACATTTGGAAACCTGATTATGTCTATGTCAAACCTCAACAAAATGTTAAAAAGAGAGAAGAATTGTCAGGGGAAGAAGATGAGAGCATCCAGCAGTCTTGAGGGCCCAGGGTTCCATTTTCCCCACAAATATCATCACCTGGCCCCTCTGGGGACCAGTGACCTGGAAACAGGCTTGGAGCTGAGTGTGGACAAAGGCAGGAGGGCTGTGACCTGATTCCAATAGCTGGGATTTCAGAGATGATCCCCAGATGCCTTGCAATCCTGGGGAAATGCCCCCACGCTTTCCACAACAGGGTCCCCAGCCTGGGGGACAGGAAAACTTCAGGGATTCAAAACACTCAGAACATTAGCCCCCAAAGAACTAAGGAGGGACCTTTCCCCCAAATCAGACTCCCTGGGGCCGGCCTGTGGCTCACTCGGTAGAGTGCGGTGCTGATAACACCAAGGCCACGGGTTCGGATCCCATATAGGGATGGCCGGTTTGCTCACTGGCTGAGCGTGGTGCTGACAAATCAGACTCCCTGGTGGAAACACATGTTGGCACCTCAGGCGCTTTAAGAACGAGAAACTTTTTTTTTGGCGGCTGCTGGTAAGGGGATCTGAATGCTTGACCTTAGTGTTATAACGCTGCGCTGTATCCAACTGAGCTAACCGGCCAGCTCTTAGGCCAACTAGAATTAATACCAACAATCACAACTCACAGCCTTTATTGGAGAAGATCTGACTTCAGTCAGAGCTCCTGGGTTCGAATCCTGAGCCAATGAATAAATACACATGGAAGGAAAAAATGAATGAATGAATGGTGAACAAATGTGCCTTTCACTCCCATCCCGTAAGTCTTTATCATGCTTTTCCTGGATGCCCAGCCTTGTCCTGAACAAAGCCAGGGCCCCAGAGAGGCCTCAGCAAGGTCTGGCCCCCAGCAAGTCCCCAGCTTGGAGGGGGAGGTAGAGCACACGTCTATGACAAAGGCACCCGCACTTCCATTTCTACTCAGAGCAACAACAGAGGACATCACAAGCAGCCAGGACACAGGGAAGGGAGCCAAGGGGGAGGGACCAGAATAGAGGAAGGACCCCAGGGCCAAAAAGAGAGAGAGGAAGTGAAGTGCAAGAACGTTAGACAACACGTGACCAGCGGGTGTTACACACTGGCCAGAGAGGAAGTTGGGCTGAACAACCCAGATAATGAACAGCAGTGGGAGGCTGATTCAGCTTCCCAGAACTTTCCCATTTCTGTCCTGATTTGCTTTGTGTACTTCCGGAGACAGGGGCTCACTCCTGAAGGAGATAGCTCAGTCCTTCCTAGGCATTGGTGACTGTCCCAAATTCGATGCAATATGATTTTTCAAGTGGTGGCCACCATAGGTAAAACTGCTGAATGAGATTGTGTAGGGAAGGAGGAGATCCCATGTAAGCTACACAGGCGGTCCCTGCCATGGGCTGGATCTGGACTCAGATCCTCTGGGTTTCAAATCTGCTCTACCTCTTACAGGCTTGGTGACTTCATCCCTCCAAACCTCAGTTTCCTCTGAAACGACCATAATAACAGCATCAACCTTGTAGCTTTGCGCGTGTATTCAATGAGAGAATGGAGCCAAGTGCCTGGCACACAGTAGGTGCAGATAAGTGTGTTGTCCTGCTCCAGACCTGGAGTACTCTGGATGTGTCCTAAATACACAGGTACTGTCCTGCCTCTAAAATTCTGCATGTGCTTTAACTCCTGCCTCACCTGCTCTTGCCCCACCACCATACCTGGAAAACTCCTACACATCCCTCAAAGCACTACCTACAAGATGCAGTAGATTCTTTTCTCTGTCCAAGCCCTGACCTAGGGAGCAGGGAGCATCCATCTGCACCTGGCTCTGACTGAGTCCACTGTGATGTGATGGGAGCTACCCGAGGGCAGGGATTCTGACGGACACGTGGCAGGCGTGCGGCCAAAGCTCGTTAAGTGAATGAATGAATGAGACCTAGGGGTCCACCAACCGCTCCCATGCTCCCATCCGCAGCTCTCCACGACTTCTAAGGGCCTGGAGGGGGCGAATGAAGGGGCGGGGGAGGAGTTTCAGGGCGTGGTCTTCGGCCCTTCCGGGGCGGCTCCTTTAGGGGGAGTGGCAGCAGGGGAGAGGCCAGGGGGCGGGGCCTTCGGGCGCGCGGTCGGAGCGTCGGGGCGGGGTCAGCGGGCGCGCGCTCGGAGCGTCGGGGCGGGACCAGGGGCGGG